AAGTAGTAGTAAGTAGTAGTAAGTAGTAGTAAGTAGTAGTAAGTAGTAGTAAGTAGTAGTAAGTAGTAGTAAGTCGTAGTAAGTCGTAGTAAGTCGTAGTAAGTCGTAGTAAGTAGTAGTAGTAGTAGTAGTAGTAGTAGTAGTAGTAGTAGTAGTAGTAGTAGTAGTAGTAGTAGTAGTAGTAGTAGTAGTAGTAGTAGTAGTAGTAGTAGTAGTAGTAGTAGTAGTAGTAGTAGGAGTAGTAGTAGTAGTAGTAGTAGTAGTAGTACGAGTAGTAGTAGTAGTAGTAGTAGTAGTAGGACGCAGCTGTGGGACAACATGAGTGCCAACATCTCAACCTCTTTGCATAGCGTGAAGTGTATGTACAGCTATGACACACTCGTGCTAATACAAAATTCGTCAGGCCCCCTACGAGCGTGTGGGCGCAGAGCAGACTTACGGACCGAGCGGTCGAAGCCAGGCGAGGAACCGACGGAAGGGACCGAGCGGGCCGAGGCCGAGCGAAGGGCCAGAAGGCGACGAACGAGGCGGGCGGGAGGCGACACGAGGAGGGAGCGGGCAAAAACTACGCGCGCGTGCGCTATGTCCGCCGTCTGCGCCGAAACGCTACTCGTTACCAGGTGCACACGGCTGCGCAGCCTACAGCTTCAGGGATGCAGGCATAGTGCGCGCGCACGTCAGTACTGAACTAACATACGCACTCATCACAATAAGAGGAGGCCTCGAATTCCACTATCTCGCCGTCGTCGTTATAGATAACAAGGTGTCCGGACTCGAGGCTGCAATCAAGCGGCAACGGCGCCCAAGGCTGAGACTCCATCAACTCTTCAGCACATCGATCCACGCGCTGATCTCCTCCTCGAGGTAACCGCTGGGTGCCGCTCCCGTCGTCACAGTAGCCCCTAGGCTGGCAAAGACGTGTATCAGGATGTACTCGCGCTGCGGGCCGTCCAGGGCGAACACTATCTTCACCTGATCCTCGCTTTTGCACGTCTCGAGCTTGCAGATCCGTACGTATAGTGGCGGGTCGGCCTCCATCTCTGCTGCCCAGGCGTCCATATTCTCGTGATTATGCTTGCCAGCTTCCTGAACGGCCAAGGAGCCGATCATCGCTGCGTACACTGCGGGGCAAGGGGGGCCCAGTCCGCGTAGCTGGTCCGATCTTTCGTTTGCCTCCTTGTTGGCCCACTCCTCTGCTGCTTTGTCGGTCCCCTTTGCTGCCTGGGCCGGGTCCTTCAGCTTGCCCACCTGAGCCCGAAGGTCGGCCGCTCGAGCCACGAACCTCTTGCTCTCCTCCTGGATAGCTACCACCACTGCGTGCGCGGTCTCGATCAGCACCGTCCGAGTGACCGCTCCCAACATCGCCCTCGACTCCTGAGTGAGTTGGGCCACTTGCATCGATAGCAGCAGCAGCAACAGCAGCTCCTTGAGGCCAGCGTCCTTCGTGGAAAGGTAATATTGCGCTCCTTCGCCTCGGCACGGCGGCGCCCTCCTCGGCGAACTCGCGGCTTGCTCCCCGTCCCCTCCTTGGAGGCGCCCCTCTGGATGCCCCCCTCCTCGCCCTTCTGCTTCTTCCGATCTTCGTCTCTGGAGGCGGTCCCACCATTCGCTGACGGACCCGAGGATGGGGCGTCACGCCCGCATTTCTGGCCTCAGTAGGGGCACGTGTCGTCACCAGCAGGCCGACGAGGAGGCCGACGAGGAGGAGGAGGAGGAGGAGGAGGAAGGAGGAGGAGGAGGAGGACCTAGGAGGAGGAGGAGTGCCCCCAGGGACCTCCACAGGCCCACGGGGGCCGTCAGAACACAGCCAGGCAAAACCACATGCGAACGCTGCGGTCGGGAGCTTTTCTCGGCGCGCCGCTGCGGCGGCCCCGGCGACACGCTGTGCTCTGCCAGCGGATGGCGTGCTGCTCCGCCTCGCGGGACGGGGACATGGGAAACCTTCAGAACGTTGACGCCAGGGGGTCGCGCCGAAGCGCGGTGGGCCGAAGCGTGTCTCGCCGAAGCGCGGTGGGCCAGAGCCAGCGGCGCGACACGCTAACCGGAGGTTGCAACAACAACGGCTCCCGCCTGATACTTCCGCACAATGCATTGCACATCGCGCTCTCGCGCGGGACCTCGTCATAACTCATCGGGAATCGAGCTCGCGCGTGGAGCGTCCGGCATCCGGGATGTGCTTAAGACGCCGCACCTCGACACTCATGAATCACGCTCTCGCTCTGGACTTCCTCAAAACTTACTGCGGAGTCGCGCTGTCGCTCGAGACTTCCTCGCGAGCCATTCAAGACTGACGCTTCAGCGACACGCCCGCTCGATCTGGCCGTGTGGGCCCACCCGCCCGAACCGTCCGTTAAGGTCCGCCCGCCCGCCCGTTCGTCTGGTTCTCCCGATTGTTCTCCTGCTCCTAACCGTACTTCTACTAATCTCTCTCGTGCTCCATCCTTTTTCCTTCCCCCTCGTCACTTCCCTCCTCCCTTCCCTCATTTGTTTCAGGGGCTGTGCCATGTACACATGGGAAATCAGGAAGGTACATACCTCGAAGAGTGGTACGGTCGAGGAGGAAGAGAGCGGGTATTCGGGAGATTCAGATGGCTTGGGAGCAAGTAGGAACGACCAAACTAAACATGATTGCTGCTGACTCTCTAGTTCTACAGAGGATGATGTTTGTTGATTCCCGGCTCGGGAAACATAGGTGCTGTTGTTGAATTGTAATGCCAAGGCTCGCACAATGCTTGTTACCTGGGAAAGTCTTGCTCGTCAGATTGGGCCCCTTGCCCACGAACTACAACAATAACGACTCTCGCCTGGTACAGTCTTGCAAACTATCAAAGAATCGCGCTCTCGCTCGAGACGTCCATGCTATTATGAACGAATCGCGCTGGCGCCTGAGACTTCCATGCAAGGGTGGTACGATCGAAGGCGAAGCGGGCGGGTCCCGAGGGCTTGGGATATACATGTTCATGAGACGTGAGCAGAAGAGCGAACAATCTGACATGATTAGTGAACTCTCATTTCTAAACACGAACTGTATCGATCTCCCCTGGGTTCATCTTATGCGCGTTCGATTGAAGCGCTCCTCCAGGGCTCGCACTCTGTTTTTTCTACACGGGGAAAGCTTGAGCCCAACAACGGCTCCCGCCGAAGACTTCCTCACAATTTGTGGAAGAAGCTGGCATTCGGTGGCACATGTTTTTTACCCAAGAGTCGCGCTCTCGCGTGGGACATCCGGTCAATTTATTCAAACTCCGCCCCTCGACACTCGACACTCAGGAATCACGCTCTCCTTCTGGGCTTCCTCGAGATTTACTTCGGAATCGCGCCGTTCGTGGGAGACTTCCTCGCAATTCTCGCAGGACTGACGCTTCAGCGACCCGCCCGCCCGCTGCCCGTCTGGGTCCGCCCGCTCGACCCGCCCGTTAGGGTCCACCCGCCCGACCCACCCGTGTGGTTCTGCCGCTTGTATTTCTGCTCCTACCATCTAACCCCCTTTCTGCTAATCTCTCTCGTGCTCCATGCTCCTCCCTCCCCC